AGAGTGGAGGTAAGAGAATGGAGTACAGTGAGAGAGGTTTTATTTTTACTTTTTATTTATTTTCTTTAAATTTTAACTTAAATTCAATTTAGTTAACAAACATACATAGTATTTTTAGTTTCGGGGGTGGAATTTAGGGATTCCTCAGTTGCACGCAACACCCAGGGCTCCTTACGTCACGTGCCCTTCTTCATGGCCCTCACCCCAAAACCCCATCGCCCCTACCTACCTCCCCTCCCGCCGCCACCCTCAGTTTGTTTCCTAGAATTAAGAGTCCTGTGAGAGAGGCTTTACATGACCTTCACTGAGACGTGATAGGATGCCTTGAGAGACCTCTGAAGAATGAATGCGATGACTTGTTTAAAATGTTTTCCATGTAAAACCATTTTAGCTTCACAACATTTAGGAATGGAGGGACCTGAAGTCATTTGGGGGCAATAAGTTTGGGTTTAAATACATCACTACGAAGGATAATAAAGGAATGAGCTAATACTTTAGTTTGAGGTGCCAAGGAAATTGAAATGCCACGTGAGGGACAGATTTGGTGGTTGGTGGGTGTCAAGAGGGTAGAGCAGGGTGGCCCGGGAAGAGGGCAGTGGTGGAGGGTGATGAGATTAAGTGAAGCTGGAAAGAAGGGATTCCTCATGGAAATGAAGCAGTGACCACGTGGTGGAAAGGTGAGGAACAGTGAAGCTTCTACTGGGATGGCCCCCTTTGGGGAGCAGCTGCAGAGAGGTCCCGGAAGAGTACCGGCTTACTGAGCGTCATCTCCAGTCCAGGACTGCATCTGCCTCCGTCTTGGCTGGGGGCACCGACAGTTTCACGTATTCTCTTACCAGATACGTGGTAGCGGTCTCGTTTTTACCTGTGAGTGCCCGCGGAAGATCTCCCGCCCTAAACTACAGCTTGGGAACCACCGACATGAAGTTCTTGAGGCTTCATGGATGATCTCTGCAGGATGAAGGCGAGGTGTTGCGGAGAGCCTCCACGGGTCTTTCTCTGATTGGATCATTTTCCCAGAGGAAAAGTGGAACGACACACCAGGGATAGCTGTCCTTCAAGAATCTGCTAGGCTGTGACTTCTTCTGGAAAACCTGTCCGTATTGCCATAGGGGCTCCTGGCCCGCACTTGCTCGGCCTACCCCATCACGCCACGCTACACTGTAACGCAATGCCCAGCTCGCTAGACTCTTGCCAGACTGAATTCCTCATGGCCTAGTTTTCCTCTGCTGTTATTCCCCACCACCTTGCAGGGGATTGCTCAGCACAAGTAGGCCATTAACATAAGTTTAGAAATCAGAAATATCATCTATAAGTTATCTAGAGAGAAATATCATCCAGAAGTTAACATAAGTTTAGAAATAAGAAATATCATCCAGAAGTTACCTAGAGAGAATAAATCTAAAATGGATTTTTAGAAAAAAAAATCTAAAATTTAAGGGTTGTGTTTTTTTTTTTTTTTTTTTTTTTTTTTTGCATGGTCTTAGTTTTGCACATAGTTCACGGCCTTTCTTTTCTGCTCCCCTAGTCTACCTTTGGCCATTTCGCTGCTTATTATTCAAGGGCTAAAGAGAAAGGGGGAGAAGCTGAAATTCAGATCAGTTAATTAGGCTGTTTGGGAGCAGCTTGGAAAAGCATTGGAAGTGGTGGGTGAAATCAATAGTTAACCGGCGGTCTGAGATTATCTATAGCTCTCACCCATCCAGCCTGCTCTTCACACCCCCTAAACCAATGGCTGCCCAGCATATGAGCAGATTATATTAGCTCATTTCACCTTCATGGGGTTTGTCCCTTTGTTCTTGAGTACGCGGCAAGCCATGTGTCCTGAATTTTGGTTTGGAGAATTTGGTCACTATACCAATGGAAGACACTGTGGGGTGGTCAGCTTCTCTGGGGGTAATCTCATGGTCCTAAGGAAGGAAATTTAACAGTTTATTTTCTGAAACTGGTTCAAGGAACATTCCTTAAGTAAAAAAAAAAATTCAATCAAGAAATAATATTACTTACATTTTGAAGCAGGATTTTTAATACAGTATTTCCATCTGTGATATATTTAAATTCTAGGCCCCAGGCAGTAATTTCGGAAAAAGGTCTCCTTTACCTTTTACGAGATGCAAAATAAATAGTCCACTCTGAGGGCCAGCGGGGCCTCTCCCCAACTTTCCCACCCTTGCCAAACGTTAACACTGGCTCCTGCCATTCTGGAAAGCGCACGTGCTACTCTTTTTTTTTTAACCCCCCCCCCCCCCCCCCCGAAACTGCAAAGTGTTACTGATCTTAACAATGTCTATCATAACTTCAATCACTCCAATTCTTTTGTGATACTTGTATCTGGTAGGAAAGGAGCACTTGTATCTGGTGGGAAAGGAGCACTTGCATCTGGTGGGAAAGGAGCATTTGCATCTGGTAGGAAAGGAGCACTTGCATCTGGTAGGAAAGGAGCTTGCATCTGGTAGGAAAGGAGCACTTGTATTTGGTGGGAAAGGAGCACTTGCATCTGGTAGGAATGGAGCACTTGCATCTGGTAGGAAAGGAGCACCTGTATCTGGTAGGAAAGGAGCACTTGCATCTGGTAGGAAAGGAGCAAGGCGGTGGCCCCAGAGGAGGCCTGCAAGGGAGGGGAAGGCCGTCCCTAGCGCACGCACGCGGGCCTCCTTGCTGCAGCCTTGACGCCTTGAGGAGGCAGGTGTCGCCGGGAGGCCGGCTCGGCCGTGCAGAGGGGCTGCCCTGGGAGGCCAGGACCGGCTCTGCCCGCCACCCGGGTCCCGACACGCGCACTTGCAGAAGCTGGTGCAGCAACCGAGCCAGATTCCACAGCAGAGGCCTAGCGCGTGGCAGCTCCCACGAAGGCCGACCCTGGAGGGAAGGGAGGAGCGCGCGGGTCGTGCCCCCTGCAGTCCTCGAGCAGGGGAGCGGGTGGTGGTGGTGGTGGGGGGCGATGGCTCCAGGAGCTTCAAACTTTATTTCCCATTTTTCGTGACCTGTGGCACGCACTTAGCGGTCCGGGTCGCGTTTGTGCAAGAGCTGGGGAGGGGAGAGGGGAGAGGGGAGGCCGCGCTCCTTAATGGCTGCACGGGTCCATTTGCACATTTGCAGTGCAGCCTTGCAGCCCGGATTAGCTGCTCCGAGCATCGCCTTCTCCCTTCCCCAAAAAGAGAGAGAGAAAAAAAAAAGTAAAGTGCCAAATAGACAAAGAGATGCATGACCTGAGCGGCGTTTCCCGGCGGGTTGGGCCGTGGCGGGCGCGGCGGGCGGCGGGCGCGGGGCCCCGGGCGGGATGCACCTGAGGCGGCGCGCGCGGGAGCGGCGGGGGCGCAGCGCGCGGGCAGGGCGGCCGGAGCGAGCCTCGCGGCGGCGGCGGCGGCGGCGGCGGCGGCGGCACCGGCTCCAGCGCAGCTTCCCTCTCCCCGGCCCTGGCTCCACGCGCACATGCGCACTGCGCCCGCAGCCCTGGACCATTTGTCAGGACTACTCGGGAGACGGAGAAAAAAAAAAGCGAGCGAATTTGGGGGTAAGGAGCGGCCGATCGGGTCCCGGCGCCCGCGGGTCGCCAGGTCGGTCCGCGCGCTCGGCCGCCCGGGCCCTCTCCGGGGCGAGGAGGAAAGTTGGAGCGACCTCGGGGGGGCCGGAGGCGCACGCCGCCCCGCGGAGCAGCCCCGGGCAGGGGGGGGACACGAGGGGGTTCCCCCCCGCCCCGGGCGCCGCCGGGAAACAGCTCAAAACTTAATCCCGGCGAGAAAAAGTGGGCGAGGGACTCGGGGACGGCGGGGGGCGCGGGGGGGCGCCGCCGGGCATCTCCCTGCGCAGGAGTGAGCGCGAGTAGGAAAGAGGAACAAAAGAGCGAGAAAAGAGAAAGGAAAAAATGGGGGGAGGAGAGACTTGTATTTTTCTGCCTGCGCGCACCCGGGGAAGGGTGTGGGGGCCGCGCGGAGGGCGCCGGGCGCGGCGGCGGCGGGGGCGCCCGGGCGGGCGGGCGGGGTGCGAGGGGGCCCCGCGGCCTCCCCGCGGCCTCCCCGCGGCCCCCGCGCGCGCCCCGCGCCCCCTGCGCCCCCCGCGCCCGGCACTCGGGTCGCGTTCGGGGGCAGCGGGCGCGCGGCGGGGAGCGCGGCGGCGGCGGCGGCGGCGGCGGCGGCGGCGGCGGGGAGCGCGCCCGAGGGCGCAGGGGGGGCGCGCGGGGGGGGCGCGCAGGGGGGCGGGGGCGGGGGCGGCGCGGGGGCAGCGCGAGCCCCGCGCGCCGCCCCCCTGCGCCCCCTCCGCCCGTGTGGCCTTTGTGCCGGCGCGCGGGGAGGGCGGGCGCGGGGCGCGGAGCGCGGGGAGGGCGCGGGGCGCGCGGGGGGCGCGGGGAGAGCGCGGGGCCACTTGGCGGCGGCGCCCCCGGCTGCGGGCCCCGCGTGGGTGCGCTGCCCCCGCCCCCGCCCCCGCCCGCGCCCTGCGCCCCGCGCCCCGGGCCCGCGCGCACACGCACACCCGCACGCACGCACACTCCCGCGGACCCGCGGCGGGGCTCGGCGGCCGAGAGTTTGCGCCTCCCTCCGCGCCGCCTCCCCCTTCCCGGCCGAGCGTGTGAGAATTTCATATAGATCGGCTCCAATTTCCGCCATTTTGGGAAAGTTGCACAAAAATAAACCCTCCGGTTTATTTCTGCCCGAGGCAGGAAAGTGCTCGCGGGAGCCAGGCGGCGCGGGCCCGGCGGGGCCGTCCGCGCGCGCGCGCGGGGGGAGGGGCGGGGGCAGGGGGAGGGGGAGGGCGCGGGCCGCGGGCCGTCGCGGCGTTGGGTGCGGGGCGCAGGGGCGGCGCGGGAGGGGGGGCTCCCCCTGCAACTTGTTTACGCCGCCCTCCTCCCGGGGAGGCCGCCCCCCCCCCCCCGCGTGCGTGTGCCGTTCCGGAATAATGGGTCTTGCACACTCGCGCCCTGGGCCCGGCAGGGGTGGGGGGGTGGGGACCGGGAAGCGCAGGAGCCCGGGCATCCGCCGCGCGCCCCGCGAGCTGCGGGGGGGGGGCCGGGGAGGGAGCCCCGGGGGCGCGCGGGGGCGCAACTTTTGCGCCGGGGCCGAAACTTTAATTACCTTTAAAGAAAAAGGCCTTCGGATCGCCTCCTCCCTCCCCCCCCTTCTGGCCGCGGCGGGGCCCACAGCGCGACCGTGAGAGAAAGTTTCAAAGCGGGCGGCTTCCTCCCCGCCCCGCCCGCCCTCGCCGCCATCCGTGTGTCCGTCTGCGCGCGGGCAGAGGTGGGGGCGGCGAGCCGGGGCCCGCTCCGCACCCCTGCACGGGCAGACCAAGGTAAACGCCGCTTCGGTTTCCCTCCTCCCCGCCTCCCCCTCCCCCCCCCGCTTCCTTTTCCTCCCCCTCCCCGCCGATTTTTATTTTTTTTTTTTTTAATTTTTTTTTTTTTGAGGGGGACCCAAAAAACGGAGTGTGTCTCCTTATGCAACTTCCTCGGGCGCTGCGAGCCTGGCCCTTCCCCCTCCCTGCATCCCGAGGCCCCGCTCCTTTCCCACCTCGGCGCCGCCGCCAGACAAATGCATCCGAAAAGCGAAGTCCAGAGAAACAAAAATAGATTTAAAGGGGGGAAAAATATTTATTTATTTATTTTTTTGTTCTAAGTTTGAGTGAAGGGAACCTGAGATGAGAAATAAGGTTTTTTGGGGGCGGTGGGGCGGGGGCGGGGAGGGCGGCCCGGGGAGCGCGTCCTCCTGTTGGTTTTTCCGAGAGCTGGTGTGCGGCACCTTCCCCGGCCCGGGGCGGGAGGGGGGGGCGGTGGGGGGGGCCCGACGGCGCGTGTGCTGGGCGCCTCGGTCGCGTGGATTTTTGCGCAAGTTTTCAGAAAAACACTGACTCGAGTAGAGAGCATTTCTCCGGAAAGTTTCAAGTGCAGCAAAAATAGCGAACGTGCAAAACTGGCCAAGGGGAGACCTCTAGTGGTTACACGCGTCTTTAAGTTAGGGAGGCCGAAAGCAAAGTTTGGCCTTTGCTCGCAGCTACGTAGTCTGTTCAGACGTGGAAGTAATTAGACGACCTGAGCGAGCGGCCAGATGTGAGCGTAGATGCGGCCCCGACCGCGCAGCTGCCGGGAAGGCCCGACCCGGAGCCCCCGCGGGTCCCTAACACGGGGGGGGGGGGGCGGGGGAGGGCGCTTGCCTTGGACTCCGGGGTCTGAGATAGGTCTGTAAGTGGGTTAGGCACCGTTGTTTGCTTTTATGCTTATCATTTTTTGTCTTTGACCAACTTTTAATCGGGGGGGGGGTGGTGGTGGAGAAGAGGGGGGTGTCCACAGTGAGTCGTTTCATTTCTGAACGTTCACAGAAATGCAGAGCGTTCAGAACTTGCGCACACACACACACACAAAAAAAGATCCTCGGGTTGGAATTTGTCTTTTGTAACAAGCCGGTCATGTTTATCCCCTAATAAATAGGATTAAAGGCCGGCGGTTAGTCTCTTAACCGTGCAGTTACATAGAGTCATAGGATAAGTGGTCCCTCTCAGGTTCCAAGAGTATAATTTTGTTGCGCTGGTGAAGACGTTGTTTCTGGATACTTTGTATCAGTCGTGATTTAAAACGTTCGCCTACGTGGGAAAGAACTGCTTACATAGTATCTATCCGTTTGCCAGTCAGAGTAACTTTGATTTTAAAGATAAAAGCCCTGCAAGAAATTAAAGTGGAGTCCAAGGATGCCTGTAACTTTCACCTGCTGGTCATAGAAAGGGGGAGATCTTCAATTTAGGGATTTAGGATAAGGGGAGAGGATGAATGATAAAACCCTTTTCATCTCATTCAAGACTAGTTTATTTTTAATATAAGGAGTGGTATTGTGTGAAATTATGCCGTAGGTCAGTGATTCAAAATTAAAACATATTAATGGGGGATTTGAAGGCTTTTTCTTTCTTTTTTTTTTTTATGACAACGCATTGATTTTTACTTTTCCTCTCTTTCAACTAATGCTGGACCTTTAGGAGACGTCTTGGGGGTGGAAAAACAATCCTAAAGACCACCAGAGAGTTATTTCTTCACTGCCACTAGGTAAGATTTGCTTTTTGAAACAAATTGCTTGGTGTATTTGCAAATGTTGAAAGCTGGGTTTGGAGATCGGGAAGGAGAATGTGGGACAGGGTTGGCAGCAAAGCATCGTTTTGTGGGGGCTGCTTTGGATGCGTGAAAGTCTGGACATGAAGTGTGACAGAGGCTCAGATAAAACATTAGGAAAGGTTCCGAAGATTGTCCCGGATAATAATTTGTGGACTGGCCCTTTTACTGGATCCTTGATTTGCGTTTCAACTCTACCTGTTTTCTACCGAAAGTAAATAGTTTTATTACTTGGAATGGAAAAGATGGGAAAACTAGAACCAAGCACTTGTGAGCTAACGTTAACTGTTGTAACACAGTGGTATGGAGGATTCTGGAACTTTTTAAAATTTTGTAGGTGAAATTTACAATGAGAGCTTTGGGGCGTTCAAGTTATTTGACTTTGTGGCTTAAATCCAGCGTGGGCCGAATTGGGCCAACCATCATGTCAAAGGGCTGTGGGGACTTTCCAGCATATGAGCATAGGCGTGTCAACTTTTGAACGTATCTCGACAAAGAGTATAGCCGTTGTCCGATAAGATCCCTTTGGTGATTTTGGAGGGTGCCGGTTTATCTCCAGGAATTCGAGGCCTCTTTTCGGGACACAGGTTGTTCTTAGGCAAAAGAGGGCAGCCCCCTGAAGGGAAAGCATCTTAGTGATCAAAGTGTATTTGTTCTCCTCTAGTTCTATTTATACCTCCCCACCACCCGCTACTCCCCTACCTTAATTTTTTTTTCCTCTCCTTTTTTTGCTTCTTTTCATTCTGTTTGTTTTCAGTACTAAAGGAGTTGCTGATTCTGTTTGGCAAAAAACAAATAAAATCAATCAGCCCCTACCTTTTCTGAGTAGGACTAATAATCCTCCCTGGGCTCCCTTAGAACCGAGGTGGGCATGCCCTGGATGTCAACACCGAATCATTACTGATGTAAAAAATGATTGTTAACAGGAGCTCGTTGTCATTTTCTGCTTGTGGATGGTCTTGAGTGGTGTCATTAGCAAGGTGAATAGAGGGGGGTCCACGTAGGTGATGCAATGCAAGAAGATCATGCAGGCGGAAGGAGAGGGCAAGCAGAGGATCCGGTGTTGCCCGGGATGCTGAGTTTCACATTTACACATGCTGAGTGGAGGGCAGTGCCTGTTTTCCTTCACTTGGGGAGTCCTTGTGGCTGGAGCAATCAAAGACAATTCAGCCTCTAAATGTATCGCATTGTGTGAGTCATTTTACCTCGTTCAGCCTGGATTGATCTCCCCATCTGGAAAATGGAGCAACAGTGCTGACCTTACTTCCTTTGTTGAAAGGAGAAAGTAAAATATGGTTGTGAGAATTATAAAGGTGGATTCACGTGTTTGGTAGTCATATTACCATTTTACCTTAGTCAGGTTTTGTGAAGGGCAGGAAGGAGGTTGTCAAGGGCAGAACAGAGTGATTTAATTCCTGGCTAAAATTATTAGATTGGTTTCTGGTATATATATTATGTGGGCTTGTCACAATACTTCAGGGGGTATTTCTTTTCTTTAGGAAAAAAATAGTTTATCTTGAATAGCATTGGCTCATTGCAAGAAGGGACTGTGTTTTTACATGATGCTGAATATAAACTGTAATTTATTTATCCCAATCTAGTCATTTGATAGGTAGGAGTAAGTAAAATAAATCAAACTTAAAATGATGCCTAATTGTGGAAATGTGAGGGTACTGAAAGTAGAAGGGTTGGTGTGAGGGGAATTCGTGAGCTGTAATTAATATTTTAGTTGTGTGAGTCTGTTGGGAAATGAGCATGAGAAAATAGGTAACTGGGGTAGTGATATTTATACTCTAGGGGGTCAGAAAATGGGTCCGCAAATGACTGCGGATTTAGGGAAAGGTCCACGCAGGGCCTGCCCCCCACCCCTCTTATATTTCCGAGACCCCTTTGCTACTTTATTCTAATTATAACCAACTGTCTATGGTCTATGATCTAGACAGAAAAAAAAAATCCTCAATTTGCTGATACTGAACTTGACAAACCCTGACAGGGTTTAGTGAGTTGTAGTTCATCTCCGTTCTCCTATAGATCATCCAATCAATGTTGTGAGAATTCAAAGACTCGATAGTAGACGAAAGAAGAAATATGTATTGTGCTGAATTAGTCCTTGAGTAATTGAGAGCTGCTTCTTGAATAATTTTCCACTGTTCTGTTTGGTAGTTTGTTTCTAAGAATCTGTGTTTCAACTTTTTTTTTTTTTTTTTTGTGGCAGGTAGAGTTAGGGTGGGAAATTTATAAGAGAAGTTACTTTCTGTGCTGTGGGACAGGGGTGTACCCTGGGGTTCTGGGGATGGGTGCCCTGAGTGATCCCTCTTGCAGTGTGTCTACCAGTTAACTAGATTTTATTGAGCTCTTACAGTGCTGAACACCAAAGGACTAGGCCTCTGCCCTTGAATTCCCTAGACCCAATGCCAGGAGTGGACGCGACTCTCAGCTCTGTTAAGAAGAGTAAAGCAGCTGCACTTGGTACCAGTAGGAAAGAACAAGGGACCCACCCTCTTGGGAGCCAGAGTCAGGAGACGGATTCCTGGGTTGAGTGATGCAGAAATATGCCATTTGATCATATACACATGGCACAATGTATGCCCTCCCTTTTCCAATGCTTAACCTTCAGAAATTACTCAGGAGCTCTTTACCTCCTATCATGGAATTTCCGAATTGTATATCCAGTGAGAGTGATGGGTTTGGGGCTGATTGTTTTCTTCTTTGACTACGACTTCCTGGTGTAGATTATTCCACTTGCTCTCATTGAGGATTCCTCATGAGAATTTGGGGGACACTGTGTTCAAAGAGGACCATTTATTCGGGAGGCACTGTACTTAAAGAGAACTATTTATACCTTCCTATGCGTATTTGTCTATGACATCTTGAAATTCAGGGCATCCGTAGAAAACATGTTTTGTAAAGGACCTCATCATCCAATGGGGATATTCTCAGGTTGTCTCTTTACTACGTTATTTTACTGACACACGAAGATATGAATAAATAGTCACACGCTATGAACTGGCGTGTACTGATCATAGCATTGGCTATGCAGCAAGTGGATGAAAGCAAAGCACCCGGAAAAGGGTCCCTGTGCCATGTAACAGAGTTTGATTGATGAAATCAGATTGAAGAAGATGTTTAAGAAAATCCCCACTGAGGAGATGGGGTGGTTTGGGGGAAAGAATGAGGACTTTTGAGAGGAACTCGAGTGAAGTTGGGTGATCTTGGATGAGAGAATTTCTGATGAGCGTGGTGGACCTGGAATTGGTTTATTGCATGTGTATTATACACACTAGGAAAATGCTCTCTTTCTTCTCCTTTCTGTATGCCAGTGTTTTGTCAGTCGACAAATAGTTATTGAGCACCTCTTTTTTGGAAGTCTCAGTTGAGTGCTTCACCTCATCCACGCTTAGACCAGGGTCGGATGAATGAACGGGTTAGGGCTACAGAGAAAGCGGCAGACCTTGGTCTCCATGTGTCTGACTTCTGGTTGAGGAAATGCCCCCCACACAGTCCAGTAGAGAGGTGATCAACAACACAAAGCCACGGTTCAGTGCTCCTGCTTAGGAAAGGTGGAGGTGAACACAGTGAGTGTCACGGCAGCACCACTGATGTGGCGTTAGCCGCATTGCTCAGGTAAGGACCTGGGAGGTGGGGCGCTCTCTGCCAAACCCTTCCACGTGTTGATAAGTCAACTATAAGTGTGCATTGAGGGCCTCCTGAATGGCAGGCATTGAGCTAGCACTTTATATTCATTCAATAATTCATTTATTTATGTATCCAACAAATACCGAGTGCCTTCTGTCTGCCCAGGTGCTGCTGTAGGCCCTGAGTGCTATCTCAAATACTTTCACTAACCTTGAGCAGTTGGTATTTGTATTTCACTTTTCGAGCAAACTGGTGCTTGGAGATACTTAGTAACTCGTCCAAGTTCATATCCTGCAGTTTCAAAGGGGTGGCATCAGGGAAAACGATACTGGCTTATGATTGTTTTGTTATGTCTTTAGGTTCCTAATTTTGAAAAAAAGTAATTCTTAGAATATTTTTGAGAAAACCCACTTCTGGATTAATATATTTGCTCTTATACATTCGTTTACTAGGATAAGCAAATAGCAAACAGGTATCAGAAAAAATAATGGCAAGACAATTCTCTCTTCCCTTTCTTTTCTCTCTCCCTTTTCTCTCTCCCTTTTCTTTCTTTTTTTTCCCTCTTTCTTTCTTTCTTTCTTTCTTTCTTTCTTTCTTTCTTTCTTTCTTTCTTTCTTTCTTTCTTTCTTTCTTTCTTTCTTTCTCTTTCTCTCTTTCACCAAGAATTAGGAAAAGACCAATTACTGAGTTATACTGAAAACAACACCTTGGTCTAGTTCATGGCCTTGACATGATCACAAACTGTTAAGAAAACATAACTCAGATTAGGTTTGAGAGTTACCGGGCTGATTTATAAAGTAGTTTCACTTGTTCTGTCTCTACAGGAGGCAAAGGCAGTAGGGTTAGTTCTCAAAAAATGTAGATCAGTCAGTCAATAGAAAGATTGGGACCTAAATTTCTTAAAGTGAACACAAAAGATGATGGGATTTACTCAGAAGGCAGGATTATAAAAGGAAAGAAGAAAATTAAATGGAGGGGTAGAGATATTGGTGGGGAGAAGCTAGGGCCAGGGCTGACTGTAGAGTGCTGGAATCAAAATAAAAAAAAAAAGAAAACAGGAAATATGACTAATAATACATTCAGCAACAGTGCTATGGTTACTGTTTTACTCCTTAACCAGAAGAGTATGCTCATGCTTGCCAGATGAAGTGAAGAGTCTTTATTCATTGGGTGGTTCCCTGTTGCAGCGGGACTCAGATAGTATCTCTGGTGTGAGTTACGGCCCATCAAGCAGAGCTTTAGTGTGACTTAGAAGGATACCACTGCGTGCGTTGATCATTGGGTACCAGACGGTTTCACTT